ATATAGCGGGAAAGTCCAGTGTGTCTCAGATACTAAGTAAGATGATGGAGTGAAGTACAAAAGCCTGCCTTGCAGCGGCACACGGCTTATACACACAAGGAAATAACCTGCAGTTTCTGCACTTTTCATGTTAAATGTAGACTGCTTATTTAGTGCTGTTTTTTTGAAAATCAGTCAGTTAGACACCACCAGCTGTTTAGAAATCATTTTTAAATTATAGTGGGTTTTGTCAGTGGATGACCAATATTCTGAACAATGATACATTGTTCAGAATATTGCCCTCAGGGCACAGCATCCCAGATGGAGTCATTGTAATTAAACACATACATTTGATTATAATACGCTGATCAAAAACCAATTAAAAAATGTACAGTTGAGGTAAATTCACTTTTCTTAAAAAAAAATAAAAATAAATGTAACACTTCCGGAGGACAACCTGTGGCAGCATAAACTGTAAATGCTTTTCATGCAATAGGACACAGCTCATTAAGTCAATCAGCTAAGGCTGTAGAATATGAAAAAATACAGCTCTCCCTCTTACAGCAGCTACGTAAGACTTTATAATCAACCATAAAATGTTTTATCACACCTCTTACATCAACAGATAAATACACACGGTATGGAAGCATAAATACAGCTCCGCATCTACATTGAACTCTCATTTTTCCCTCAGAGGACTGCTCTTCAAGAAGTAAATATGAACTGACTGTGTTTACTAAGATATATAATCAGACACAATAAATACATCTGCTCCAGAGGGCAGTGAAGAAAGGAAACTGGTTTGGCTCAATTGAGATTTCCCTGTATCTTACAAACCATCAGACTGTGCAAAGAACAGAGGAAGTTTACTGAGAAAGGACCAAGCTCTTTTCACATAACTGTGATATAAAAACTACAGAATATAGAAAGTTTATTCAATGTCCCCTACACCAACTTTCCTTTTCCCTCCATCCATCCTTCTACCTTCCTTCCCAACACTAACTTATGTCCACTGTCTCTCTTATACCAATGACATGTAATGACGATACTGTAAGCGCTAATCGATACAGAAGCTCTTGGTGTTGATAGCAGGACGACTGGGACACTGAGGGGCTGTTGTGGGTCAAGGTGGATGGAAGGTGGATGCCATTTCATTGATTTATTTATATTCTTTATGGCACGTACAGGTCATAATTAATGGACAAAAGCCTAATGACTACAGTTTATGTCTTTGGACAGTGTAGGTGACAGCCTTCTTTTATTTCTGCTATGAAAGGGTGCTTAGGCTTACTTTATAAAAAATGCCTCAAAGACTGTTAATCATGTCAACAAAATTATGACAAGTATTCTTTAAAATTCTTTGTTTAAAGACAAAATTGAGACAAAAATATCTGTTCATAACTCCCTTACAAAGGTGAAACTTAACAGTTGGCTCTGCTCGGAACCGACAACCAGCGTAACATTACTTATCTGCAACAAGTGAGTCGCTGGTGTCATTGATTATTTTATTTTTTGGTATATGTCAGTGACAAAACCGTAACAAACTACTGTTGGGACGTCAGTTTAACATTTGAAACACTTTGTACAACCTTGATACAATTTTCTGATAGGCCAGATGAAGCAGTTTAACAAGAGAAAAAGTTTTGAACCAAATGCTTTGAGGTGCTGTCAACTAATATCGACAAACTATAGAGGGCAACACTGTAAACGTAAGAAGCATTACCATCTAGAGACTTAATCTGAAATATTTGCCAAAATGAATTACTGTTAGAAGAAGATGGAAATGTGTATGAAGGAACAGGGGTCAAACATGTAATGATTTACAATGATTCAATGATGATCATTTACAACCATAATTAAAACACAATACTCTATAAGTGCTTTTTAGTGTAACGTAAACTAGTTACAGACAATAGTTCCATGGTGTAGCATTTCAAAAGCTAATGTGCAGGAATGCCTCCAATAATCTCCTCAATGAATCTTTGGTCATCAGAAAACAGAGATCTAAGAGGCATCGCCGACTAATTCAATTGTTTTGTTGCATTATTATATTACATGTGAAATCTTCACAAAATGTAACTATAATTTAGGACCAAGAAAAGCAACAAATTCATTTTAGGCATTCTTAGCAGTAAAGTGAGAATGATCATTGCAGCTTTGATTTGTTCTCATACCGTTCATGTGTTTTAACATTGGTAACTACAGGTCACATTAGGCTGCAATGATGAGCACAATTTTATATTCTGGGTAAAGACAAATGTGTTTAAATCAAAACATAACTGACTGTCCTTTTTAAAAATTGACCATCAGTTATGTAATTGGTTGAGAGTTGGCTTTAATATCTGTAATTTTGGAAGAAGTAGTCTATGTATGCATGCTTTTTATATAAATAATAAATTGATTGATCATGTATGCATTGAAAAAGTAAACACGATTACAATAACGTATATGAGTAAATATTGGTTCTGCGTCTATTGAAACATGTTCTAATAAGACATACAATCAAGATAAACAAAGATGACAGTGTAAGGGGTGTGCTAACAGGGAGAATAGTCTGAAAGAATAGAATGGAAAGCAAAACCAAACACAGGCATACAAATTGCAGGTGGCACAGTGTTTGTGATTTAATGCTGACGGAGAAACTGCCTCAGATGTCAATTAAATTACCACTAAAACAGAGGGATTGGATTGAAAGATGGAGACAAATAAGGAAGGTAGAGGAGAAAGGAGTGAGGGGATGTGGGAGTACTTTCACTCAAAGAAAAATAATATATTTCATTGTGATATCAAAATCAATTGGCATCGATTGAAGGGTGGCTAAAGGTGAGCGTGTACATGATCCTTCAGCTGTGAGAGGCAGACTGTCCAGGAAGAAGGGAGGGGGAGAGAGAGAGAGAGAGCGAGAGAGAACGAAAGAATAAGAGGCAGGAGAAATGGAGGGAGGGGGGAGGGAGGGAGGCAGGAAAAAAGATGGGTGGCTACAAGAAGAAGTCACCTCCTAGTTAACAAAAAGGCAAACGAGAAAAAGGCCAAAAATGAGAGAAGAGAACGAAAAAAAAGAGAAAAAGAGTGAGGGAGCTCTGGCCCGGTGGAATCAATACAGAGAGGTGGAGCAGAGTACAATAGCCTCAGAGGAAAGGAGATGCAGTGGTGCAAGTCTAATACTCTCTGTTTCATACACACATATATACATGCACACACACAAATACATTAGCGCACACACACACTCACGCACACGCACGCACGCACGCACGCACGCACGCGCGCACGCACGCGCACACACACACACACACACACACACACACACACACTCGCCCCCTCTCTGATTCCTTTTTGCTCTTGCTTTCTCCTGACATTTCCCTCTATATCCTTCCTCTATTTAATTTATTTTTTTCTCACTTGCTTGCTCATTCTGTATCTACGCTCGCCCCTCACCGCCAATCCACACAGGCCACACACACACACACACACACACACACACACACACACACACACACACACACACACACACACACACACACACACACACACACACACACACACACACTGAATAGCTGTCTGTATGCAGAGGATGCAGGGAAAGGAGAAGTCCTTCTGTCCGACCATAATAGCAGCATCCTTCATCAAAAACAGACAGTGAAGTATGAAGCAACACACTTGCAAGAATTTAGACAACATGGACACAAGTGGACAAGAACCCCCCCCGCACACACACACACACACACACACACACACACACACACACACACACACACACACACACACACACACACACACACACACACACACACACACACACACACACACACACACAGAGTTATAGGACAGTTTCTCCAAGTGCACTTTCACACAAATACTGAAAAGTCAAAGCCACTCAGTTGCAAAAAAAAAGTGTCACACGAACATTTTAACACACATGTACAAAACAGCACGCTCCAACACCACTCCAGCTCTATCAGCACTCGAGACTAGTGAGGCTTCAATTAGTTCTTGATGAATGAGCCCATAAGATGCCGCTCTCTCATTTCCCTTGTTGCCAGATATCCCAGCAATCAGAGAGAAATGAATTCTCATTGTGGCGTGACTGAAACGAGAAGATGACGGTGGAGGTGGAGGTGGAGGGGTGGGGCCCCCTCTCCACTAAGGGGCCAGAGTTCAGCTTCATCACACCAAACTTCACATGTCTTCACCAATATGCAACTTTCTGGAATGGTATACTCCTGTCCTTCATACATGGTGGCACAGAAGAACACTTTCAGGGTGAGCTGCATGTGAGCAGGCAGTTTCTCCTGTCAGCTAAATACCTAGTATGAAGTCTGATTGAGCTGATGTGAGTGAATGCAGCAGGATATAATCAGGAGAATTCACATCGAGTGAGTGGCAGGGGATGACGTTTATTCACTGCGATAGGTGCAAGACTGTAAGCACATGAACGTTGCAATCTCCATGCACATAATTAAACTTCTGCATTAGGATTTCTGTATGTTTTCTTTCAGGATGTTTGTCTCTGCTCTTTTGTTGATATTGAGGTACCTGTCGACATACACATATAGGCAAATATCATCATTTAGGCGTGAAATAGCAGACTGTTGCTTTGTCCACTACTTCTGCATCGTTCTTTTTTCGTCATGTCTTGCCTCAAGAGACCGACCCCCCGCGCCCTTCCGTCTCATACAACAAGGATAGTATCCTGCATCCTGCATGTGTGAACAACCAGATCAGGAGGATTTCAGGGGCAGCCCTCCTGAAATGATCTACATATTTTCAGTACAATAAATTAACTTCACAAACAATTGAAATGTCTTCCCCTGGTCTTTTGGTATTAAGCAGAAACAGGTACTTACTACTCAGAAAGACAAAATCAACACCAGATTCCTGTTACAAATTAATATGTACTTGTTAATGTTCCAAAATATGCAACAGGATTTGTCATGTTTCTCAAAGGCCTCTTGTATCTATTTAAAGATCAAATGAATGAGAAACTACGTGTGACCATACGTAGAGATAAAGGTTACACTTACCATCATCGATGATGCTGACCACTACTCCACTACCAGTGATGTTTTTCCTCCAAACCGGCATTACATTCATGTCAAACCCACTGGAGTTGTACTTGCCCTGTGCAAACTGAACACACACACACAGATATATTTCAGTCAGACAAGTCAAGTGTAGTTGAAATGTTTATTGCAGTAGCAGAACAATGCTAGGACTTTGCCACAGCAGCATTTTAATACCTGAAATTATTCAATTAAAATGTTAGGGTTCAAACATTATTTAACCTCAATTCTCTTAGTCAGCTACTGTCTTTACAACTAGTCTTTACAATTTGCTATTATCAATAAAATCCTAAAAATTTCCATTTAGGACCTCATTGTGTCTAAATACACAAAGATGCAATATATTTGTTGATTTGCCCATGGGGGGCAAAAAGAGAGTTTATAAGCAAGTCACAGAGACAGATCTTTCATCCTTTGCACCTCAAACCACAACTCCACCCACACACACACACACACACAGTCAAATAAACCCAGATCCAAACATAAAACAAACTCACAAATCCACACAAAAGTGCACATTAACAACTCCATCATGGGGAGACAAGAGAGCCATATCTGCTCCTTAAGGGCCCAAAAGAATACATACATTTACTAGTAAATACTTAGAATAACATAAAGCAGGACCATTCTATGATATAATAACCGAGTCACACTTCCTCTTTATACAACATCAATGGTGCTTCTTGCAGAAATATTCACAGATACACCAGCTACACACTCAAAACAACACAGTAACTACACACACACTAAAAACAAACACACAATCAAAAAGGAACCTAAATGTCAACAGCTGTCCAAAACTCTACTGCCCACACAAACACACACAATCACAAATTTGTTATTCAAAGTGAGTATGTTTGAGTGGTTTCATCTCTGTGTTATTATGATGTAGAGAGAAAGTGAAGGGGATGAGAAAAAGGTATGTATGTGTGTGTGTGTGTGTGTGTGTGTGTGTGTGTGTGTGTGTGTGTGTGTGTGTGTGTGTGTGTGTGTGTGTGTGTGTGTGTGTGTGTAAAAATGCTGCTCCCTGTGCTCTGATGGACATGAGCTAGCTGGTTCTGGTCATATTCTTTATGACCTTCTTTATATACACATGGATGAACAAAAATGAACAAATATGAACATACAAACACAAATACCCTTCCATACATCACCAAAGTATCAATATTTAGGCTCTTTAAACCTTGCATTAACATCCCTCCTGGGTGATCTGACAACAAGTGGACAGTGCCTAAGTATGGGCGTTTATACCTTGCATTGAAACTGTGTCTCCATCAAGTACTTGAGATCAGAATGTACTTCCATAACCTCACATGCTATAAGCACCCTCCTTTTGAAAAGACTGAATCTATTCTAGCTAGAGCTGCCGGTTAGTCCTCAGTCCTATTTCTGCTAGACCTGTCAGCTGCATTTGACATATTTAACCATCAAATCCTCCTATCTGCTGGTTCATATCCTATCTCTTAGGGCGATCTCTTAGAATGTCTTGGAAGGGAGGAGTACACCACCACACTTGGTGTAATATTCAGACCCTATGGTGTCTCATACCATTGCGATGCTGATGATACCCAGCTCTTCCTATTATTCCTGCTAGATGACATTACACCCTCAGACAGAGTTTTGTCATGCCTTGCTGATATCTCTAAAATGGATAAATAAAAACTACTTCCAACTCAAACTATAAAATACAGAGCTCAGCCAGTCGCTTAGTGCAACCACAGATCAATATCCAGCTTGGACCAACCAAACTCATGCCCACAATGTCTGCCTGGAACTTATAGGTGTCATCTTTGAAAAACAGCTAACGGCTGCTGTACTGTAACTGTATGTGCTGCTGGAATTAAAATGTAAAGTAAATTATACAGAGAGAACTACCCTGTCAGCCTCAACGTCTTCTTTTGTTATTGTATTGATTGAGAGCCCCATGGCGGCTGAATCTACATAATGTCCCTTTAAAGCTGTTTGTTTGCACTTAGTGATGTTGTTTCCTCCTATCCAGATCCTTGCTTGTGTTGTACTTACTCACAGATGTACGCTGCTTTAGAAAAAAGTGTCTGAATTAGAATGAATGAGAATTGTAGAATTGAATGCTTTATTTCCCATATGTGGTCTGAGCTGTCATATGTCAATCTGTACACCGAGCATCAAATCTATCCACTCGTTATCAGATCACCCAAGATTGATGTTAATGCAAGGTCAACAGCCTAATAGTAACCAAATATGAACCACCCATTTTCTTGTCAATTTGGGAGAGAAAAAATAAAGCATAATTTAAACATAATGTGTTCAATTCAAAGTATTTTGACATGTTTTTGAAATAAATGTATTGGCAACAGTCATTGACACCTTAGTTAAAATTGATCATATTGTACCTGTAAATGATTTACTTCACTGCAAGCAGTAAATGGATTCCCATGATAAAATAATACCATATCACAAAAATAAAAAATGTTTCCATGTTCAAATCAAATCAAGATTTTTTTTTAATACAGTAAACATACTGTATATCACACTAGTGAACTTGCTCCTTATTGTCATTAAATATCATGGTTATGAAAACTTTAGCTGTCTGCTGGTCCACCATATACTAATGACTTAAAAAGTAGACATGAAAGTTGGGGCAGCAGTAGCACACACTGTAAGGACTTGGGCTGGGAACCATTGGATTGCTGGTTCAAGTCTTTGACCAAGTTTGGGACTGTCAAGGTGCTCTTGAGCACCTCACCAAACCCCCAACTTCTCAGGCACTCTTTCATGTGCTGCCCCTCACTCTGACATCTTTCAATTAGTGCATGTGTGTGTATTTCAGTAATTTCCCCTTGTGTAATAAAGGATATCTTCTTGTAATTATTATTTAAATACATTTCTCCTAACTAAAGGGTAGACATAATTGAAGCCTTGTTCAGAGCATGGTCACTGGTAGACCTAAACCCTACTGGCTCAGACATCCATTGTTTGTGAATGAAGAACATTCTAAGGTCCACACACACACACACACACACACACCCACCCAGAGTAAAAAGTTAATTTAACACAAGAGCACAAAACAAATACACACACACACTCACTTTCTCTGTGACACACTTGCAAAGAGAGAAACAAGAAAACAGTTCCTGTCTTCTGTGCCTTTATCTCTGCTGCCTCACAGCTGTAGCCTTCAATAACACACTCTCTCTCTCAAACACATTATCAACAGAAAGCACATCCAAGGTGCGTTATGGATTTTTGCAGTTTTGAACAGGCTTCTCTAGTAAAGCTGGACTGGGCCCACTGCTCACACATGACGTACAAACCAGCTTTTTCAAACATACACACGCACGCACACACACACACACACACACACACACACACACACACACACACACACACACACACACACACACACACACACAAACACACACAGATACACATGCCTGATCCTGGCAGGCTACCAACCCTGTGATCGATGTCCACCAGAGGATGATTAAACACAACAGAATGAGGGAATGGGCGTAAAAGGGGTAAAGAGAAAAAGAGAGTGAAAGAGAAATAAAGTCATTTTCTCAATTTTAAATATCATTTTATTTTTCTGGATTATTGAGTTCACTATTATTATGTTCTATTGATCAATATACTGTATATATTTCTAAGTGATATCTCTATTACATAAAACGTGTCTATAAAGACATATTTTTCTTTTTTTAAAGACTGATGCCTAATCACATGCTCTATATGGAGCCCAATAAGATTTGTACAAAACTACTGAAACTTCCTGAAAGTTTTTGGGCCAAGCTGCATGAGTGGAGTCTTTTGTGCATACTAGTAAAGTAATGATAGGCCAATGTGAGAACGCAAAAGGAAAACTCAATGTGAGCGGGTGAGCGGGTGAGAGGGGGCAGTGACATTTATATCCTGCCACACACACACACACACACACACACATTAACACACACCAACACCACCACCAAAGTTAAACAGGAATAGTCTCTCACTGCAAGATGCATGTATGAACAGGCAAATCAAGAATATTTCAGCAGCAGCCTGAAATTTTATTTGAGTCAATCTGAAAACAGCTCATTACAAATTTTTATATTCCAATTTCCCCATCTCAACTCCTTCATATTTGTTGTTTCCACTCTCCGCCCCAGCCCTGACTCTCACCCCACTATCCTGCCCCTAGAGCAGTAATGTCAATCAATGTGTTGCTGGTTGCCATGGTGAATCTCTGACCCCACCTCTCCTCCTCCTGAATCTGTCAGATTACACCCTCGCATGACAGGCAAGAACATTTGTAATGCCTATAGGCTGAGCAATGCCGTCCAGCTTTATGAGTGTGTTTGTGTGTGTATGGGTGTAGTACAATAAACTGTATATATAGTACTGCTTAATATTGTCTATAGTAGAGTTTTTGTGTCTAAATAATGTAAACACAAATATATTTAGGGAATGAAAACTGGAGTTTGTCTGTTAGATGTTTGCATTATGAAATGTAACACCAGCCGTTGTAAAGTTGGACACAGATAGATCGTCGAGGCCCTCCCGGTAGCAGGGAATCAAACGTCATTATTTCATGTGAGCAAGAGAAATGTGGCCAGTACATAACCCCAATAAAAATAATGGCATTAAATACATACACAACTATATTAATCTATAATAAGAGTGCAACTCTTTGTTACAGATGTTTACAGATTTGTAACACTGTATCAGCCCTCATAGAGAACATTTTCCAACGATGCCATGGAAGTCAGCTTGCTAGCAAACTAGGTAATAAGCTTACTTGTTCTGCTTTTGATTGTATTTTCTTTTAGCAGTTTTATCACAGCAAACATTGCTTGGATTAGATTTTTTTTTCTTTAAAAATGAACCCGTTCAAACTGAGGAAGAAGTTTTCTTGGATTATCATTATTGTGGCGTCATTCAAATTTCAAACTTTTTGTAAGTTTTTAACTTTTTGCAGCAACATCTATTGAATTTGGTATATAACACCTGTACTGTACAGTTGTAAACTAGTCTTGTACTAGTGACTCACAAACATTTATTGGTCAAACCCTGTTTTGCTGAAGGACTGAGCTTGTGTTGTTGCGGCACAGTTTGTGAGTCAGTGTTGTTCTAAGCCTCATCAATCCCCGACATCTGTCTCAGTTCAACATAGTCGACCTCCTTCAACTCCTCTCTCTCTCCCTCTCTTTCCTCCCCCATAATCTGCCTACCTCCGTCTATCTTCTGTCTCTCTCTCCAGTCACACATGAAAGCCTGCCTGACTCGTGTCTGTCAGTGGAACAGCCTTCAGCATGAGGACAAATGCCGAGTGGTGAGAAAGGGTATCCAGAAAAGACCAATAAAAACAGGTAAACACATTCACACAGACCCACAAACACTCACACAGACACACACAATTATACCCACCAGTTCCCACTGCATAGGCCAGAGTGGGTCATTGAAGGTGAGGGACTGGTCACTCCTATTCTCCTCAGGCTGCCAGTCAGTTTCAGACTCTCTTCTCTGGGAACCTGCAAGCACACAGACATCTTGTGTGTATGTGTTTGAACATGTATGTGTGTTTTTTTTGCTTATTGTGAACTCTGACACCAGAAAGTCCCTGGTTCTCAACCAATGGTGAAAGACCTCCTGGATTCACTCTATCTCCAGTGAGATGGAATATTATTGGAAGATTAGCATGTCATTAGCATGTCATTAGCATCTCATTTCTGCAGCACAGCTTGGCTCGCTGTCTGTCGATGTGCTATCAGCTCATCAAGGTCTGCACCTTTCTCTCCATACACTATATGTTACAGTCATTTTCACTCTCTCTCTCTCTCTCTTTCTTGATATTTCACCCCTGCACAGCACTGCTATTCACACTCTTTTTTTTTCTCTCTCTCACATATGACAGATATGAATCAGTTTGTTGCATAATATACTGTATGTATTGCAAAAACAAATGCAGAACTCCTTAATGGTAAGCCCAAGACATGAACTGAATGTTATAACACATTGTACACTTACAGAAATATAACAAGCATCCTTTTTTTTTATTGTTGTACAGAAGTGGATAACACAACTTGCATGATGTCAAAATATAACTTGACAGAGATGCAAGGTGAAAGACGGAGGATGACAACAATCAAAAATAATAAACATACAAAAAATAAATACATGTAAAAAATGGAAATAGGTTAAACATATGACCAGGAAGGATATGTGTGTGATATGTGTCATTTTTTTTTTTTAAATCTCACTTCATGAGAACTTGCTATAGATTGTATATAGGCGTATGGAATCAAAAGGCTATTATGGGCACCTTTATTGTTATCACAGTGTTGATTATCAATAGGCCAATAAAAAAAATGATCTTGTTGTTGTCTTCACAGGTTCCCAAACATCTTGCTAATTCTAAAACTCAATTAGGAGAAACATATTTACATGCTGAAAAATAAGGTGGCAAACATAGGCTTAACCTGTTTTTCCATGATGTCAGAAACATTAATTTACCTCAATTTGATTGAATATATGTGAGTATAACTTTAAACTCAGTATTGGCAAAAAAAACCAATGAGGACCTGAACCTAAAGAATGTCCTGGTCATCTTCTTCAAATAATCATTACTAGAGAGGAGTTACTATTTAATAACAGCATTAAGATGTAAATAAATAAAAAAATTCCCTTCTTGATGCTTATTTCAATTTACTTAAGAACACACTTTTAAAAAAGAATACCTAAAGTTAAGAGTGCATGTGTCATTATTGGATTAACCATAGAGTTACATAAAAAGTGTGTTTAATTTCCCCCCGCTGTGAATGTTCTAAATTGCATAAAATGAGTCTCTCTCCTTTTTCATTTGTGTTTCTTTTATCTTTTTTGGTAACTTACTGTGAATGGTACTTTGGTCCCTCAATGTCACATCAGCTCTCTTCTCTCTGTAATGATTGCACTGCCTCTGCAGCCATTGAACCTGGAAATCACAACACAGTGATCCATGAATTCAAGGACAATAAGAAATAATGTTAGCTTTGGGCAATGGCTCAGAATTAGACACACAACTTTAAGTTTGTGAACAAATATATATATATATTTATATTCTCACTCACTTTACTTTTTTGGCCTTTTATGTCCACCCCTAAGCTTACCTGATAGACACTTTGTACTACGGCTCTAATAATCTTCAGCCATTTCTGAAGTCTTATTTTCACTCTGTGCAGGTTTTGTCCAGGCTTTATGAGGATAAAAGCAAAACAGTGAGAAGCACCAACAAAAACCAGAAAGTATATATTTTTTTTCTTCTCTGTTTCATTCTACTATGAAAGAGAGGGAAAATCCATAGCACAGGGAGAGTTTGGTATCTATGGAGGAAAGAGAAAAAGGTTTCCTCTTCATTAGTTCAAAGAGTACTCGTTCACTCTCTCCTTCGCAGTCCCATTGTCCTGGGTTAAAAGCAACAAAGACACCCCTGCCTCACCTACACCTCTGTCCTCTACAGCACACATGCACAAGCACACAAGTACACAAACACACAATTCTTTCATAGGCCGCCGCTTGCAGCTTTGATCTGATAAGAGGCTGGTCTATGTGAAGGTGGGCGCACAGAATCAAACAGATCATAGACACACACGCTCGAACACAAGCACACACATATCAGTGTCAGGCCACCATTGTCCTCTTACACTTAAATCAGAGTGGAAGAGGTTGAAAATAAATACTATTGAGAGGCGGCTGAAGTCTTTTATGTCCTAAAAGCCTGCTTGCTTTATTCCCCTTTCATGTTCTTCAATTAGACTCAATTAACAAGAGCTGGTCTAAACTGCCCAAGGATGACGGATGAAGGGTTAGAGGGGCTGTTAGAGCTGCGGGAATAATTAAAGAACACATCCAACCAGAAGTGGAAGTGATAGTTCCACAGTTCTTCAAATTCAATCAAATTGGTGTTTATATTGATCATACTGACTAACCTTAAAAAGAAGTTAAATACAATTATGAAATATATTTAGAAGTTTCTATAAGTTTAAATTTTGAAATAGTGAGCGCATGTTTTGGGTGATGCCTAATGAACAAGATCCCATTTTTTATTTAGCGTTCATAAATGTTGTTAATATGAACTTTATGACAATAAAACAGCAAAAATTATGTTCTCACTTGTGGATGAAACATTTGTCTAAATGACCAACCAGATCTTTAATAGTTTTTTTACATTGTTGAACAGATTTTCAACGGAAAAAGCTTCTAGCTGCTAAAAGAATGCAGATACTTGAAGTGTACTGTTAGGCTCAGCTTAAACCAAATTGCTATTTGAGATAAATGCCAATATTGCACCATTTATTTAAAAAATAAATCCACAATGTAATACCAGCATCATACAGCAGAGGGGGATTAATTACCAATATAGGTATAATCTGCATATTAAAGCTCAATCTTAACCATAAACTCAACCTTTCCCATTTCACCTCGAACTCGTTATTCCAATCAGTTTATTTCTATCTACATACATGAATCATATTTAGTTCAGCCTATGATCCAAGTCATAAGTGTAAGCTAATATTGTCCAAAAACAGTTAGCAGAACACACCTCTAATGTGTGTGTGTGTGTGTGTGTGTGTGTGTGTGTGTGTGTGTGTGTGTGTGTGTGTGTCCCAACTACCTTGTACAAGCTCTCCACCCCCTCAGCAGCCAGCACACGCTGATCAATACACATGATAGGGAGCTAATCGCTCTCTGTCAAACCAGGCCCTGCCAGCTACTAATGGCACACACTCACTGGGGAATGTGTGTGTGTGTGTGTGTGTGTGTGTGTGTGTGTGTGCGTGTGTGTGCATGTGTGTGCATGTGTGTGTGTAGGTGTCTGTGTGGGTAGGCGTGGGCCTTAATGGCCGATTGAGACTGTTTAGGTAGTGTTGCTCAAGGTTAAACCCAGGGGACAGGGGCAATTGACCACACTGTCTGTGATACTGACCCCTCCACTGTCAGCACATTCATCATCCAACTTTGACATATAAGAAGACAAAAAAGCACACACACACAGATAGATAGATAGAAACAAATTATTAATTTAATACCTCACAGTACACGTAATGTAATGTAATATAAAGTAATGTTTAAATGTATTGAAAAGTCTCCTAACAGTAAAGCCAAAATACAGAACTAACTGGCATGTTGACCATCAAAAAGCCTTGATAAATAGGATGTGAGAAACTTGACCAAGAGAGAAGAGTTTGAAATCAGTTAAAACACAAAGTCATGAAAAAGGACACACCCTATTTAAAAACACTGTTTTCCAGTGGTCAGGAAGAAAATAGCACTTTTGTTCATGTTGAGGTAGTACTGACAGAAGGCATTTGAGTAAAAGGGTGTGCACATATGCAGTATATCCCGATAAAATAGAAGTGGTTGATCATAGAAACAAAGAAAGGAAAGAGTGAGTGTGAAATTGTGTTTGTTATGTGTGCACAATATACTCCCATGTCTCTGTATGAATGAGTGGAGGCAGTGGATGGCAGGCAGCTGTAGCAGTGTGATATGCGCCAGGCGGCAAAGATATCAGTGCTGACATTTTGGACTTCCCTACCCATTCAGGGCCCCTTGGGAAAGCGATGGCAATGGCAGTAGCCGTGGCCACATGCCCAGGCCCCCCTTCTACAGCCATTCCCTCCCTTCACCTGTCAATCACAATGCTGTGCTTCCTGAGGCTCTGTCGGCCACGACCATGCAGCAGCAGTGAATGCACCACATGACCATCCTCCACCAACACCTAGAACCCAGTGCACTGCTGATCCCTGTCTGGACCTCCCCCTACACCTCACCCACTTTCTATCTGCCTCTTCATTCAATCTCTCATCTTTACCTGCCAAGCAGACTGCAGTGAGAAAAAAAAAGACAGAGGTGGGGGTCATGTGACTCGAAGGTGAACAGTGAAACCAACACAGACACACATAAAAATTGTGTGAGATCAACGGTACTGAGCAGTGAGGGGAGGGAAGAAAAATTGCATGAATTTTAAGAAAGGAAAGAGATAAGACAGAGATACACTCTGGCCCCTCCTCTAGCCTTCTTTGAGGGCACCTCTTGCCCTCCTCTCCCTCCACTGCCTTCCCCTCCCCCTTCCTCTTCCCCTCCTTCCCCCCCGGGCCCTCTGGTGTGTTGCTCACTCCATTGTGTCAGCCTTCAGAAGTGCTCAGTTTGAGTGGCAGGCCGTCACAGATCAGTTCCCTGCTAAAGCGGCCCGGCAGGCCGGGGTGACGGGCCAGGAAGGGATCTAAGTGGGGTTTATCAGCGCTTCTTAACGCCTCTCCAGCTCCCTGACACAAAAGAGAGGGGGTATTAAACATCTAAAGCAAACCAAAAAGCGTGAAAGCTCCTTATAGGGCCACGGGATTGTGGATGTGACTGGAGTCTTTAAAAAAATAGCCCCAAAAAAAAAATTGAAAGAAAAATAAGGAGAGAAAAGCACACAAATGCTTCAGCGGTGAGGAAGTGATGAGGGAAAACTCTGATGTATTTTCTATCCTGTGTGGATGGAAGAGTGGGTGGGAGAGGAAGAGAGAAACAACGAGAGAGAAAAAAAAAGATGGAATGTATAGAAAGAACTAAACAAGCAAATATGAATGAAAACTAAGTTAATAATGCCTTCTATCTCACCACCTGCTTTCTTTGTAAAGCTAATATGTAACACCCCTGTGGCCGATGCTTTCAGGGACTCTAGCACAATACATTTAGTATTGAGTATATCCAATGACAATATATCTAGTCCTTAAACAACTTGAAGTTAATCATTTCTGGTTTGGATAGGTTACATTTTTAAATTGCACTGACAGCTCTGGTTAAAGTGGTAATATTATGCTTTTTCTGGTTTCATATGCCCTTTTGTGTGTTTTCCAAGTGTCCTGTGCATGTTTGGGCACATCTATGTGCAAAAATTCAAAGTCCGCGGAAACGCAGCTTCTCCTACATCCTCCGGTTAGCTCCATGTAACGCTCGGTTCTAGCCCCCCTCTTGTCAGTGTGAGATCACTGATCTAAGCCCATTGGCTCATTGTGGCAAGACCAGCAGCTCATGTTGCAGGCCCATTAACTTCTGTAGCACGCCCACGATATGCTGTAGCCTGCGGTAGCACAGTAGTGCTAAGGTGCTAATGTTTTTGCTCCCTTCGGAGCCAAAGTGGCTGCATTCCCAATATGGTAAAAGGGGCGTGACATTTCTGAGAACCGTGCTGAGCGACTGACCAATTACGGCAGAGCCGACAGGCCAACCAATCAGATCAGACTTGGCACACTTGGACTCTGAACGTGGGCACGGGCCTTAGAGAGAGAGTCAGAAGCGAGCCGGTGCATGGAGCGGCAGTACATGAAAACAGACACTTTTTTAGAACTTTAGCTATTGTGAACATACTTTAGTAGGTACATAGATTAAATATACGAACCCCAAAAAGGGCATAATATGGGCTCTTTAAGGTGTTTCATGACGTCCGTTTAACACAGACAGTGGCAAAACCTCAGTTTTAGTTCTACTCAATCTAAGTGCTGCGTTCGACACAGTTGACCACATTATATTACTCGACTGACTGGAACACTGGGTGGGAGTTTCTGGCACAGCACCGAACTGGTTTGAATCCAACTAATCTTACTTAAAGGACATGGACTTATTTGTGTCTATAGGTAACTTCAAATCTGAGCAAACAAAAATGAGTGTGGAGTTCCCCAAGGTTCCATCCTGGGGCCTCTTCTGTAAAACATCTACAGTAAATGCTTCATCTAGGTCAGATCATAGAAAACAACAAAAGAAGTTATCATACCTAGGCAGATGACACACAGATCTATATTACAATGTTGCGAGGCGACCATGGCAATACAAGCACTGGGTAAATGCGTAAAACAAATCAATGAGTTGATGTGCAAAAGTGTTCTTCAGTTAAACAACACTGGGGTAGTTGTTTTTGGAGCAAAAGAGAAGCGATTAAGGATCAAC